ATGGTAGTTCATTGCCAGTTCTGAGCAGTTTAAGTAATTTCTTTGTCGAGATCCAAACCGGCCTCGGTCAAAGCACTTGCTCAGTGCCACACATCCAACTCTGATGAACGCTTTTGACTCGTTTTTTAATTCAACAATTTCGTACACCTGAAAGAGATCAATTAGATAGTGATTAGCTTTTATCCAGAGAGATGAAAGTAGATCAGTTTTATTTCACAAGGAATTTCTTGGCAGAGTGGGAACAGTGGGTGATTGGTGAATGCATTTCCGAACATAAGCTACACAACTGNAACTGTTTCTTACACATAAGTAAGAAACGGTTGTGTTCTCTAGCAAAGCATTACATCATAGAATGGACACAATTTCTAATATTCAGTGCTTGGTCTTCTAATCAACAATGACTGAAACTCATCGGCTTTCTCAAATAGTGAAGATGAAAAGGTTCGTATCTTTGACAACTCTTACCTGTATTTATACCGTGTAGCAAACACTGGATAGAATACAAATCTTCGTTTGTGTTTTTTCACGACCAAATATTTGCATAGCACTTTTCCATCGATAATATTTGCGTTCCACCTTGGTTGGTCACAATAAAAAATGCACCGATCCGTTAATTTTATGCATTTATTGAGAAAACGGCTAAAAGTGCACAAACATTTGAACCTTCATTGGTTTGATTTACACAACGTGACAAATACAGGTTTCCCTTGTGTTATTACAGCTTTGTTGGGTGACGATGTCGTGAGTGGGAAGCTAGTTCCATACACAGCTCCCAATCTTCTAGTCAGCGGGCACTTAATGTCATCCATCGGAGTCTTATTCAACGCATTATATTCTGTGTAGCATTCCGTAATCCAGCAAAATATTTATGAGGCTGGCATGTTTAGTGATCAAATTATTCGCTGTATCTCACCTCAAAAGGGAAAGCCGAGTAATAGTTTCTCTCTGCCTTCCATTGTCCGCCTAATTGAAGACAATTTATTCATTCTGTTGTCTGAGGAACAATAACAAGGAGCTCACCGGTACAAGAACCCGAACATTATCGGCATCTTGTGCACCAAAATGAGCTGTACTTACTTCACTTCATTCTCACCCCTAAAAGGGACGAAATAGTCAGTCGATATGTTTTGCTTCTTTTTAACCTCCCTATTGAAACGCTATTCCTAAGACTATTACTTGATTTATCAAAGTATGGGTTTGACCATGTTTTTGGAGACAGAAGGTTATTCTTGAAACATACCAATGGTATATCATTTTGTTACCGATGCACCGTTGATAAAATATGTACATGCTGCTTCGGTTGGAAGTTGAGTTAGCTTGACACGACAAGTGCTTCACACTTTCAAAAGGCAAGGTGCTCGTGTGAAGTTGAATAGCTGCTTGTTTAGGTAGCGATAAACCAGATGTCGTTAAAGTAATAATGTCATTAGCTCATCTGTAAACTGCCTAGTATCTGCGAGACAAAGTTTATCAGTTGGGGAGTACTGATATAGGTAACGAGAAGTCAAGATGACTTTGCTTCGTATTCGGGTGCACGATTTAGGGTAATCCTTATATCGGAGAGTACCAAAAACTCGTTTATGTTTATAAAATTTATGTATAGATATGAGACAGTTGAAAGTGCATAGTTTTTCCGGATGCCGACTAGGTATTTCATCTTTAAATGAGTGACTGTTATAAAATGGAGGCAGACAACTCCCTCGAATAATGACAACCAAACGAGTTTTGATTTTTCGAAAAATACAAACCAGCCTACAACTGATCAACTTCCGAACGACATGAACTAATTGAGTTTCGCCTAATGTTTCATTAGCACAGAATGAGAATGAGCCTCTTTATCCTCACTATTCAAATATTGCAGTTGGTGAATGCAAGGCACATCACCTGCACGGAATATATAACCATTCGTGTTGCAGACACATTGAATGCGCAGTAAGGAATCAACTCACCTGGGCACTAGTAAGTTGGGTGCAGCTTACCAATAAGGGAAAACAAATACGGCAGTATATAGTTTGATACGCTTTAAACAAAGCATTGGTATTGTTGAGAGTTCATTACAATTACGGTATTGTAATGTGGAACAATCTCTCTTCAGGAGTTGTTCTGCTCCCTTCCATAACAGTTCTTAAAATCGTGCTAGAAATCCACTGAGTTTTCAGTCGCTCCGTCGTCTTCATCTCTACTAGACATTACACTGATGTATACTTGTGCGAGTGATTTGTTTTCTATTCTATTTACCACATATACACTACTTTGGGACAATAAACGGGAAATCATGAAATTTTCTGCTCGATATTCTTTCTTTGGATTCACCATTAAACAAAGAAAATAACCAATCATAGATCCAGGATATCGGGTATGCCTCTTGGATTTGAGAACCGCCTTGCGACCTCTGGGTCATAAGGAAACAGATGCAATTCACGACAGATTTGGATGGTGGTCGGTATCTTTCTCCTTGCATAACTATTATTATGTAATATTTTTCTTGAAATTTTGTATGAATACGGGAAGTAAAAAAATTAGCAAAGTATAATGCGATATGTTTTAATGGTATTCACCATCCAATGACATAGTCGAATACAAAAGTGTCCCATGTTAGTCCTATATGATCATTCGTGATGTTGTGTTAATAGTAGAACAGTCGCCTTGGCCTATCGGTTTCACTTTGTAAAATGGTACCAGATTTATTTATTTTAGAATAACTACTACGAGACAAAAAACCACTTCGAAAATGTCCCTTCACGACATGAAGTTTCTTTTAACCTTTTTTATTGCCAGTGGCTACGAGGGCTGAGTATGCGCTTTTGGCCGAAACCGGCCATGTGGTTGCTGTATCGCTCTTACAACAAAGCAGTCACCGGAGACTGAAACACCACCATCTCTGTGCTGAAAGTGCTGGAGTTCGTTGCCAGTTGTCGTCCAAGGACTCGTGCACGAGGTACCTCCCTGCAGTATGACAAAACACATGTACACAGGTCCCATATCGTCGGGGAGCTTCTGGTTAGAGAATGTATCCAGGAGGTTTGTCACCCACCTTAAAGTCTAGACCTGGCTCCGTGTGACGTTTTGTGTTCCCAAACCTCGAGCTCATGATGCGTGGAATCCGACACCATCCACCAGCAGCTACACTGGCAGCTGTGACACTGTTGTGCTGTTTCACCAAATGGTTTGAGTGCATGGAACTGTACATGAACGCTGATGGAGAATACTTCGATCGAATTTGGTGCTTATTGTTGTGTAAGAAAAAACAAGTTTTGTGCATTCGAAACTTTTTAACCAGCCGTCGTATTGTGTGGTCTACTCTACCTGCACTTTTCTGTCTCTCTCTTACTGCTTCATCCAAATGAGCAACGAAAAGACAGCAACCAAAACCGACGCACGAAAGTGCATGGTCAACCGTTGTGTTGCCTGTCTGGAATTATTGTGAAACAGCTATTTCACCTTTTCATTCTCAACTACAGATTCAATCAGGCTAACTTGTTCGTTAGATTCCGGTAGCACTCACCTTACGCAACTAAGGATAGACAATGAAAATATTTGTCTGTCGCACAACAAAACAAATCACATTTTGAACGAGCTAATCGAATTCTCATTTCAGCTAGATCTCGTTCACCGGTTCTGCGCAATTCTGGTGCATTCCATTGGTGAAAAAACATGGTTCAGGTACATAAATTTGAAAAACACATGCAACCGATAAACTCTCCTCACTCTGTTTCAGTTATCCTGTGTGATTGAATATCACCAGCATAAACGATTTGCCGAACAGAAACAAATACTTGTTTACATTGAGGCAATTATTGCTGGTCTGGCCGTACATCGTCCGCGAGATCCGATTGAATTTATCAAAACGGATTTGAAAAAACTGCAACAGATTTGCAAATCGTTGTCTGTGCATCAGGAATCTTTATGCTGGACCAAACATCCACTACTTTGGTGGAGTAAATTCCTGATTTACGATGAGAATCACGAATTTTGTGTGAAACATTTGCGTAGCCGAATCGAACAGCTTGAGACAAAGCATTTAGAAGCATCCGGACAGAGGTTAGCGCTGATGGATGGTTCAGCGGAAAACGGGCATCCAGTTTTCCAATTGACGGAGGTCACATTCGATGTAAATGAATCAAAAGCCGAGGGGAGCGCTGTTCATGATGAGCTAAATCAGGAGCATGATTTGTGAAACGAACCTTCTCGGAGCCACATGGATCGTGAAACTGTACATTTTTTCCAAACACTATCGCTTAAGCCAATATTGTTTTTACTTGGAGCCTAATTGAAACACATCAAATACGCATAGTGATTCTACGGAAAAATGTATTTGATAATAATATGTCATTGCGAATTTCATTCAATCTAGCCACTGTAAAGGTTAACCATGTTCACATGGATGATCTCTTGACAGTCGGTTCCTTGCAGACCCGACCCTTACAGGTTCTTAAAGCGATCACCGAGATTTGGATTTGAAGAATGACTATGCTATTTAAAACCGAAGTATCCCAGCAAAGATGTACTTTGAGCCTGGACCAATACCGGAAAGACATGGGAAAGCAATTTTTGCCTAGCGGCCGTCATGGATTCCGTTTATCGAGCAGGTATTGCTCGGGGAACGAAAGGAAATTTTGCGAACGACAGACTAAAGGTATGTTACAGCAAAAGATATTCAAATACAAAATGTTTCCAGTATATCGCATCAGGCAGTTAAGGAGATGGAGAATGGCAAGTGGGGTGGGTGGGCGACCATTTGATTGAATAAACTCAGATTATTCATGTCTGTTCACCGAGCTTGACAAATTTTTCGCAAACGTTTCATCACAAGCAGAGATGAAATTCTTCTATCTGAAATACGGTTATTTAAGTCCCGCCTAGGGTCAAAACAGGACTTATTTCGTTGTAACACTTGATTTGCCAGTTTTATCAACATGTAGACATGATTTTGCTCGAGGTGGCTGTCGACCGTGTTGATTGAAGTGCCAAACATTGATAGATTCTGTGGTAGCGTTTGAATGGACTTTATTGATGGTTCTCGCTAATTCGAAGACAGATTTATTTCCTTGATCTTTATTACCAATGATGATCACGATAAGACCTAACGCGAGGGTGTGACAAACCTTACCGAGAGACTCGGCCACAGCGGTTGCACTAGGCTCCCCGGATAGGGAGCCTCGAGATCGTGGTAACCGGTAGCTAAAGCACTAAATGATATCGCTAAGTGTCGTAAACAATGACGTTCATGAATCTTTTCAATTTCCTTGCAACCGTAGTCCATTGAAATGCTCCATTTTCTCTTCGACTCTACTTTCAACTTCATGATCTTTCTGCTACTGCTTCACCCAAAATGGCAGACAAAAGACTGCAACCAAAACGGGCGCACGGAAGTGCATGGTTAATGATTGTACAAACTGAAACTGAACTGAATTGCAAAAGACTGAGTTATGCCTTCTGACTGTCAATTGGCTTTCCTGGCTCCTTGTGAATAGTTTTCTTTCAGCTTGCTCGATAGTGTTTTTGAGCAGTTTGTACAGATTATTCCTAC